ATGAAATAGTGAAATAAAGTCGTTATTTATGTTTTTTTCGCACAAAAATAGTCTCGTCGCTTGATTAAACTTATAATTGAGCCGCTGTAGGCACATGCAATATTTAAACCTTTTCTTAATGACTTTATGGGCCGTCAGAGCCAATCCCTTAGACAGTCTATGTAGGACTGATCTAGCTCTCAGATTCAATCAAAAATATCTTTGTGTTTCCGAAGATGAACGAAGGTCTTACGGGGTTGAAACAGCATGGGGGTGAGTAATTAATGACTTAATTTTCATTTTTGGGTGAACTAACCCTTTAAATGGAAATTCATACATGCTCTAAAAATGATCTTGACACCAGTCACTTATAATTCATAGAAAAAAATGACCTACAAAAGTGGTACATTTTAAGAAAAGCTCTAGGATGTTTTTTTTTTTTTTTTGCAGATTTCATTTTGTTTAATAAATGTTTGATATATCAGATTCTTATTAAATGAATTGGTTTGCAATACAGTAAAGTGACCAGTATAGTCGATTAACAAGTTTGTTATATCCAAAATATTATTAATGTGTTTAACAGAATGGAGTTGAGCACACACATGCTTTTATCATGTGCCCTGAGGCCTACCGCTTCTGTGAGGTTGAACAGCATCTGAGTAGTGAGTAAAATTCAGATTCTGAACTAGTGATGGTGGTCTTAAGGAAAACAATTAAAGTAGTTCACTTCAGAATTAAAATTTCCTGACAATTTAAAAAAAAAAACTACTCCAACTTCAAAATCGTCCAACATAATTGGTTTACCTTTTAGTATTTTTTTTTGTTTCACTTTGTCTTTGCACATTCGTTTAGGTCACTAACACTAGGTCAGTCCCTCTGCCTATGTCACGCGTGACCTTTCAACATGATTATGTAATGCGTCGTGCATCGCAATGCTACTGTAAGATGAGCATTTGTGGTTAAAAAGTATATTTATTTGTGATTGTAATGTTTTTTTTTTTTTTTGTAAATGACCGATGAGTACATTTTGGGGGTGAGTACATTTTAATTCTGAAGTGAACTTATCTTTTAAGTGGAAAGAATATTGTTGTTGTATTGTTTTGTTCTGATGTATTTTTTCTCAGTGACTCCAGTGGTTCACAGCGGTCTAAGAGATATGAAGGTACTGAAGACTACTCAGTCTGGATTTGTGGGCTTCCTGCGGGACCGTTTCACCACTCTGACAGAAGCAAAGGACAGATTCTTCTGCACTTCCATTTATGCAAGATGGCACTACAACACTCACGTAAACGTGCCATTTGACTCTGCATGGTAAATGCAAACCCTTTAGACATGCCAACAAAGTGCAAACTCTTAGACATGCCATAGGAAGTGATACATGTTATGTGTCATATATGTGTAATGTACAATGAAAATGTCCTCGTAGGAAAACGGTTAAGGACACCATCATTCAGAAGTTTGCGGGACCCTATGATCGTGGAGAATACTCTCCTTCAGTTCAGAAAACTCTGTACGATACACAACTCCTGGTACTTGACAGAATTCCACAGGTAAGTCAAACTGATTTCAGTTTTGCGTGACTTTTTAAGTGAAAAAAACTTTTGACTATTGTTACTAGTACCATTTAGATTTTAGGGTTAGTGATTTGAACAAAGCCCCAAAACAAAGCATGACCTTGAGTGTCTTACTGCTTTACGTGTAAGCAATGAGGTACAAGAGGCTGTGCTGTATTGTGAATAAGTAACAGCTGGAGGGCGTTGTTAGGCACAACGAAAGGTGGAGTAAGCCCTTCAGTCGTTATTTATTCACGATACAGCACTTGCCTCGCGTATCTTATTGCTTTTATAAAACGATTACCACACAATAAAAATATTAAAGGCTTAGTTCACCCAAAAATGAAATTCTGTCAGTATTTACTCATCCTCATGTAGTTCCAAACCTCTATGTGTTTATTTGTTCTGCTGTACACAAAGGAAGATATTTGGAAACATGTTTTAATCAAACAGATCTCATTCCCCATTGACTACCATATGTATTTTTCCCTACTATGTAGTCAATAGGGAATGAGATCTGTTTGATTAAAACATTCTTCCAAATATCTTCCTTTGTGTACAGCAGAAAAAATAAACACATAGAGGTTTGAAACTACTTGAGGGTGAGTAAAGGATGATAGAATTTTCATTTTTTGGTGAACTAACCCTTTAAAGTAAAAAAAAAAAAAAAAAAAATCATTAGTGTAACTTTCATGAAGTAAAATCACTAAACCCTTTCTTCCGCTAGAAAAAATAGTCCCTGACCGTGAACAGCAACAACAATGTGTAATATGTATGAAAGCTCAAATAAAAAAAACATAGGAACTGCAGTTCATAGGAACTGCGCAGTGATAAATAGAACCGTTGGTCATAAAAAAATGTGCTTTTATGTCTTTTTATCAATTGACTTCAATAGGTTGACGAAATCGAGATTATTATGCCGAATCAGCATTATTTTGTCATTGACATGACAAAAATGGGACTCTCTAACAAGGATGAGGTGAGTGACAGAGAAAATCCTGGGGAAAAAGCCATTCACATACAGGTTATCAGATCAGATGAGTCTGAATATCTGTATTGACACAGAACAAAGTTCAGAGTTTTCAGGCTCTGACATAAGACTTTTGAGGCTGCTACTCTTAAAATGACTTTATTGCCACATTTCTACAAACCACTGTGTTATCCCAACTTAAAGAGTATGAAGGATATGTGGAGTGTTGCTTTGTATGTATTTATATTTTATTTACATGTCACATTACGTTGTTGTGCTTTCATTTCAGGTTTATCTTCCCCTCGATAATCCAGCAGGAAACATCACAGGCACTGTGCGCAGAAAACCACGAGCCAAAATGTAAAGACCGGCAAAATTCACAAACTAGATATATAACACAAAACAAATAAAATCTATAAAGCTAACATGATTTTCTGTTTAAATATTCAACAAACCTCATTTTTATTTTATGTTTTACAGATAGATTTTTTTTTGGTGTAATCACACAAGTAAATAAAATTTACAAATATAAAAATGTTTAAATGAGAGCTGCCTTCTATTTGTGGATAAATATTAATAATTGAAAACTATGGGTTAATAAACGGTGCTTTAATCTTTATAACATTGTTTTAATCAATTAAACTTGAATCCATTTCTATAGTTTTCAGAGTTATAACTGTGTTCTTCAAAAGTAATTAAATTAAAATAGATGGAGTTTACAGCAGTTGTTCTGTAGCAATGAAAAACATTATTAACATTAACGATCATTATCTTATTTCATTGATCACTAATACAGGTATCAACATTGAAGGGAAACAATGAAAGAAAAAGAAAACAGCATCAGTTAATCACACCAATGCCAATAATGTTTCTGGTATTTGAAGGTTTTAGGAGACTTTTTTTTTTTGAGGAAAATTATGATTATTACATTTATTATTCACATGCAGAAAGGACGTTAAACAGCACTGTAATGAGGACCAGGTAGTGGATTGTTTCAGCCATCTGAAAAAGCACCATTTATTGCAGGCTACACTGGCCTTTGTTTCCTCTTTTTTAAACACCTTGTATCACAAACTGCTTTAGCTTTACAGTGTTGTGCTGTCTGTCAATAACAACAATCCACCAATTCATCAGGAATCACATTGTTAGTTACAGAATGAAATGAATAAACAGAATTAATAGCAGCACAAAGCACTGTCATTCTGACAGGATTCCTGAAAACAAACCTCACATGTTCAGCCTTTATCATAATTTTTCCGACATTTGACAATTTGTGCTGTCAATTTATCTCAACACACTTTTTATCTATTAAAAGTGGAAAAACAAAAAGTGAAATAAACACCAACAAGCTGATAAAATCTCAACTGTGACAGCAATGTTGTCAATCTCACTTCCGTTCAAAGCGCACTTCATGCATTACACAGAACATCTCAGGTTTTCATTTGACATCACAGATCACATTATCAAACCGAGCATTTAGTCTTAAAGGGATACTCCACTTTTTTTTGGAAATAGGCCCATTTTACAACTCCCCCAGAGTTAAACAGTTGGGTTTTACCGTTTTCGAATCCATTCAGCCGATTTTCTGATATTTAGAAGAATATCAGTAACCATGGTCTCATTGACTTCCATAGTAGGTAAAAAAATATACTATGGAAGTCAATGAGACCAAAAACTGTCTGGTTACTGATATTCTTCTAAAAATCAGAAAATCGGCTGAATGGATTCAAAAACGGTAAAACTCGACTGTTTAACTCTGGGGGAGTTGTAAAATGAGCCTATTTCCAAAAAAAAGTGGAGTATCCCTTTAAAAGAAATGATGATTTGAGGACAAGCACGCAAAGTCAAATCTGAAGGAACAAACTGTTAAACATAGGTCAGCTGAAACTGTAAATGTGCCTGTACAGCAGAATGAGACCTTAAAAGCAATAAATTCACCATGTTTATTTATCAAGATGCATAAAATGTATTAGTTCTGTCTGCAGTTACCCTGCACTGCGTGATTGTCTTCCATGTGTCCACATGTCTGCAGCAGCTACGAGACGGTACTTTTTAAATGTTGGGTTTGGAGAGGCTTGACATGATACTCGTATATCTTCAGTGCAGGACCCAGTTTTATTGATAGTCCGGTTAGAACGTCATTACGAGTCATTAATAAAAGGGATTTGCCATCGATTTCCTGTAAGTTTAGCAAACATAAATAAATACAGAAACACAGAAGACATAATAATAACATGAATATTATTGAAAACAGAAAAAAGAAACAATACTACTGTGAAATCATTTTTAAAAATGTAAATAATGGTTTCATATTTTTATATACTTTAAAATAGAATTTATTTTTGTGATGTAAAGCTGATTTTTCATCAGCCATTACTCCAGTCTTCAGTGTCACATGATCCTTAAAAAAGTGGATAAAAACGATCTTTCATCAAGGTTATACATGAATTTTGAACAATACACGTTCTTGTATTAGGGACAACTTTGATTTACTTTTTTGATACACTACTGTTGACCACTGTAATATGCTAATTTATTATCTGTGTTGGAAACATCTGTACTGCTTAATATATATTTTTGAACCTGAAATACTTTTTTTCTGGATTCTTCGATGAATAAATGTAAAAAAAAAAAAGAAAAAAGACAAATAAAGAACAGCATATATTTAAAATAGAAATCTTTTGTACCAATATACACCACCGTTCAAAAGTTTTGGGTCAGTATTTTTTTTAAATAAATGAATACTTTTATTCAGCAAGAATGCAAGTTGATAAAAAAGTGATAGTGAAAAAAGTAATACTTTACAATAAGGTTAATTATTTAACATTAATTATACCTTAGTTAACATGAACTAAGAATGAATAGAGCATGTATTAATCTTAGTAAATAATATTTTTAACATTTACTAATACGTTAATAAAATCAAAGTTTGTATTTGTCAACATTAGTTACTGTGAATAGAAGATTTCTTTTTTAAATAAATGATGCTCTTTTTACCTTTTTATTCATCAATGAATCCTGAAAAAATAATAAAAATACAAAGCAGCATGTCTGTCCAACATTAATACTTAGTATCAAATCAACATAGAATGATTTTCATGAAGGATCATGTGACACTGAAGACTGTAATGGCTGATGAAAAATTAGATTTGCATCACAAAAATAAATTTCAAAGTAAATTAAAATAGAAAACCATAATTTTAAATCGTAATATACTTGTATATACAGTAGATAGAGTAGATTTGTGCAGGAAAACAAAATGAACCCCTACCTGATCCTGGAAAGCGTTGGCTTGCTCCTCAAACCCTGTTGCTTTAAAGTAATTGACCACATCCGCCACAGCCCAGTGCGCAGGATCAGTAAGCTGCCCATTCTCCACAGAGCTATTAGAGAGTGAAAAATATTCAATTGATGCTTTTGTATGATTTAACCATTCCATATGTCTACACAATCTTCCAAGCTATGTGATCACTTTATAACACTTCATCACTTTCAACACTTTCGGCTTAAATCCGTTTCATGTGGGCTGTAGGATATCACTAAAAGAACTGTCCAATTATACATGATTCTCTGCCTCCTGCGTTGTGCTGACATCAGTTTGCCTGAAAAGTTTTTGGAGGGCAGGGTCATGGAGAAAGGGTGTGTGCTCAAATCACTTATTAAATTTGCGCATAAGCTCTTGTGAAGTATAATCTACTTTGGTCAAATCAGTGTTGTAATAAAATTCTGATCTTCAACAACTTGACAGTGCATGCATATTTAAAATAAAATCAATGGGATTATCAAACAAATTGGCAGCAGTTGCCATGCAAACCATTTATTTCAGTCCGGTTGCCATGGCTCTGCCCTTGTGTAACAAATGAGAGGCCATCTAAACCCAGAAGGGGCAGAACATTTCTTTTCTTAAGTGGCCATGATGTTAAAAGTAGATTTCCTGCACTGTTTCTGGATTCGGGTGGCTCAGTTGGTAGTATGCTGCGTCACAGCAAGAAGGTCCTCAGTTTGAGCCCCAGCTGAGCCATGGAGTTCGTTCTATGTGGATTTTGCATGTACTCCCCATGTCCAAAGACATGGATTGGATATGCTAAATTGGCCATAGAAGCGAGTATATTTGAGTGTCCCAGCACCAGTGTTGCACGAGTTAGTGCACTCTTAGTGCTGGGTTGTGTCAGGAAGGCAACGGGCGTAAAACCTGTGCCAAATCCAATATGCAGATAATTCAGCTGTGGCGACCCCTTACGGGAGCAGCCAAGAGAAGATCGTGATATTTCACCAGTATTTTACAAAACAAACTGAGGGCTGGACTTAGAATCATTTCCAAAAATGGTCAATTCCTTGGAACCCAAATTTTCGAATTCTTAAATTCCCCTATTGATTTTCATCTACAGGGAAGCAATAATAATGGATTGTGAAGGGAAGTTCTGCTTTCTCAGAGTTTGTTATTGGATGAAATAGGCCTAATAGAGTTTTTCACATATTGAGCCCATGAGCAAGGGGTCCATCTTAAAAAAAAATAGATGTTCCGAGCTCAGGTAATTTTCGAAACTGTCAAGTGTCCATCTTGGGGCTGGACTTTCCTCCCAATCATGGCCCTTCCAGGTGTCACTGTCGCTGCCCATGTGAGCGTTGAAGTCCCCCAGTAGAACGACGGAGTCCCCAGTCGAAGCACTTTCCAGCACCCCTCCCAGAGACTCTGAGGAGGCCGGGTACTCTACATTGCCGTTTGGCCCGTAGGGACACACGACAGAGACAGACCTATACCGACCCGTAGGCGCAGGGTAACGACCCTCTCGTTCACCGGAATAAACTCCAACACATGGCGGCTGAGCTGGGGGGCTATAAGCAAACCCACACCAGCCAGTCGCCTCTCACCATGGGCAACTCCAGAGTGGTGGAGAGTCCATCCTCTCTCGAGGAGTGTGGTTCCAGAGTCCAAGCCATGCGTAGAGGTGATCCCGATTATCTCTAGTCAGAACAAAACCTCCCAACCACACGCACAATCTTAGGCTCCTTCCCTGTCAGCGAGGTGATGTTCCATGTCCCTAGAGCTAGTTTCCGTGTCCAGGGATTGGGTCGTCGAGGCCCTCGCCTTCGAATGTCGCACGAACTTCTCAGCACGAGCCCACAGGAAGGCGGCCCCACGTCGCTCCTTCGGGCTGAGCCCGGCCGGACCCCGTGGAGAGAGGCCTGGCCACTAAAAGAACTGTCCAATTATACATGATTCTCTGCCTCCTGCGTTGTGCTGACATCATCATGCTGATGCGAGCACATACGAGCCCCAACCCCGGGCCTGGCTCCAGAGTGGGGCCCTGGCTGCTCCATACCGGGCGACGACATGGTCCTTGTTTTTATTTTAATCATAAGGGATGTTGAAACGCTCTAAATCTGAGTTGTCGCCTAGGACCTGTTGGCCTTGGGAGACCCTACCAGGGGCATATAGCACCAGACAACATAGCTCTTAGGGTCATTCGGGTACTCAAACCCATTCACTCTCTGGCGCTTAAAAAAGGACAGCAGAAATGCAACCCTGGTAACCCTGCAAACAAAGCAGCTGCTGTTTCAGATCAGTATTTAATTGTTCCAAACAGCAAATCAGATTTTTTGTATTCGCTATGGTGTTCATCACAGCATCAAATACTTAAAGACTTAATAGGCTGTCAATTTTTTCAAACTTAAACATTTTTACATTTAAATCTGGAATAAATCATTCTTTATCATTGTTCAGTAACACTTAAAGAGGACATATTATGCAAAATCCACTTTTTTAGCCCTTAAATGCATTTTGTTGTATATTTGGAGTGTTTATAACTAAGTACAGAAAAGATGAAATTTTTCTCTTCAGGTGCTTCGTTTATATCTTTATATTCTGTTTTGGTCATATTTTTCAACCTGTTCAGATTTTTCTGTTCTCTATGACGTTTTTGAACTATCATGTCACCGTATTTGCAGCGGAACTGACAAATAAGAACATTGACTACCGGCCCAACACTTCGAGCAATCCGCCATTATTATTTCTCGCTCCGATTTTGTAGTCCAAGCTCAATGATGCAGAAGTTACAAGAGGGCAAGTTAAAATGTTCGGTTCTTGGATGTAGTGACCTGAAGCACTTCAAGGATCCCCACTTCAACAACCTCCGCCAGTATACAGAAGGGTTTGCCGATCAACTTTGTCTGAATGAAGGGTAAATTCCTTTTATCATTTAGCTGCTGTGTTTTCTGATGCTTTTCTACATACATACATACATCTTCTTCCGCTTCATCCGGGGCCGGGTCGCGGGGGCAGCAGTTTAAGCAGAGATGCCCAGACTTCCCTCTCCCTAGACACTTCCTCTAGCTCTTCTGGGGGGACACCGAGGCGTTCCCAGGCCAGCCGGGAGACATAGTCTCTCCAGCGTGTCCTAGGTCTTCCCCGGGGCCTCCGCCCAGTGGGACGTGCCCGGAACACCTCCCCAGGAAGGCGTCCAGGAGGCATTCGGAACAGATGCCCGAGCCACCTCAGCTGACCCCTCTCGATGTGGAGGAGCAGCGGCTCTACTCTGAGCTCCTCCCGAGTGACCGAGCTTCTCACCCTATCTCTAAGGGATCGCCCAGCCACCCTGCGGAGAAAGCTCATTTCGGCCGCCTGTATCCGGGATCTTGTCCTTTCGGTCATGACCCAAAGCTCATGACCATAGGTGAGAGTAGGAACGTAGATTGACCGGTAAATCGAGAGCTTTGCCTTACGGCTCAGCTCCTTCTTCACCACAACAGACCGGTACATCGACCGCATTACTGCTGAAGCTGCACCGATCCGTCTGTCAATCTCCCGTTCCATCCTTCCCTCACTCGTGAACAAAACCCCAAGATACTTAAACTCCTCCACTTGAGGAAGGATTTCTCCACCAACCTGAAGTGAGCAAGCCACCCTTTTCCGACTGAGGACCATGGCCTCGGATTTGGAGGTGCTGATTCTCATCCCAGCCGCTTCACACTCGGCTGCAAACCTCCCCAGTGCATGCTGAAGGTCCTGGCATGAAGAGGCCAACACGACAACATCATCCGCAAAGAGCAGAGACGAAATCGTGCGGTCCCCAAACCTGACACCCTCCGGCCCCTGGCTGCGCCTAGAAATTCCGTCCATAAAAATTATGAACAGAACCGGCGACAAAGGGCAGCCCTGCCGGAGTCCAACATGCACTGGGAAGAAGTCTGACTTATTACCGGCAATGCGAACCAAGCTCCTGCTTCGGTCATACAGGGACCGGAGAGCCCTTAGCAAAGGACCCCGGACCCCATATTCCCGGAGCACCCTCCACAGGCTGCCTCGGGGGACACAGTCGAATGCCTTCTCCAAATCCACAAAACACATGTGGACTGGTTGGGCAAACTCCCATGAACCCTCCAGCACCCCGTAGAGAGTATAGAGCTGGTCCAGTGTTCCACGGCCCGGACGAAAACCACACTGTTCCTCCTGAATCCGAGGTTCCACCATCGGCCGTATTCTCCTCTCCAGTACCCTGGCATAGACTTTCCCAGGGAGGCTGAGAAGTGTGATCCCCCTGTAGTTGGAACACACCCTCCGGTCCCCCTTCTTAAAAAGAGGAACCACCACCCCGGTCTGCCATCTCAGAGGCACTGTCCCCGACCGCCACGCGATGCTGCAGAGGCGTGTCAACCAAGACAGCCCCACAACATCCAGAGACTTGAGGTATTCAGGGCGGATCTCATCCACCCCCGGTGCCTTGCCACCGAGGAGTTTCTTGACTACCTCGGTGACCTCAGCTAGGGTGATGGACGAGTCCACCCCTGAGCCCTCAGCCTCTGCTTCCTCAACGGAAGACGTGGCGGCGGGATTGAGGAGATCCTCGAAGTATTCCTTCCACCGCCCGACGACATCCCCAGATGAGGTCAGCAGCCGCCCACCCCTACTGTAAACAGCATTGGTGGGGGACTGCTTCCCCCCCCTGAGGCGCCGGACAGTTTGCCAGAATCTCTTCGAGGCCAGCCGATAGTCCTTCTCCATGGCCTCACCGAACTCCTCCCAGGCCCGAGTTTTTGCCTCCACAACCACCCGGGCCGCAGTCCGCTTGGCCTGCCGGTACCTGTCAGCTGCCTCCGGAGTCCCACAAGCCAACCAGGCCTGATAGGACTCTTTCTTCAGCTTGACGGCATCCTTTACTTCCGGTGTCCACCACCGGGTTCGGGGATTGCCGCCTCGACAGGCACCGGAGACTTTACGGCCACAGCTCCGAGCAGCCGCTTCGACAATGGAGGTGGAGAACATGGTCCACTCAGACTCAATATCTCCAGCCTCCCTCGGGATCTGGTTGTAGCTCTGCCGGAGGTGAGAGTTGAAGATCTCTCTGACAGGAGATTCGGCCAAACGTTCCCAGCAAACCCTTACAGTACGCTTGGGTCTGCCAAGTCTGTCCAGCCTCCTCCCCGGCCATCGGATCCAACTCACCACCAGGTGGTGATCAGTTGACAGCTCCGCCCCTCTCTTCACCCGAGTGTCCAAGACATACGGCCGCAGGTCAGATGAAACGACTACAAAGTCGATCATCGACCTACGACCTAGGGTGTCCTGGTGCCACGTGCACTGGTGGACACCCTTATGCTTGAACATGGTGTTCGTTATGGACAAACTGTAACTAGCACAGAAGTCCAATAACTGAACACCACTCGGATTCAGGTCGGGGGGGCCGTTCCTCCCAATCACGCCCCTCCAGGTGTCACTGTCGTTGCCCACGTGAGCGTTGAAGTCCCCCAGTAGAACGACGGAGTCCCCAGTTGGAGCACTTTCCAGCACTCCTCCCAGAGACCCCAAGAAGGCCGGGTACTCTGCACTGCCGTTTGGCCCATAGGCACACATGACAGTGAGAGACCTATCCCCAACCCGTAGGCGCAGGGAAACGACCCTCTCGTTCACCGGGGTAAACTCCAACACATGGCGGCTGAGCTGGGGGGCTATTAACAAACCCATACCAGCCCGTCGCCTCTCACCATGGGCAACTCCAGAGTGGTGAAGAGTCCATCCTCTCTCAAGGAGTGTGGTTCCAGAGCCCAAGCCATGCGTAGAGGTGATCCCGACTATCTCTAGTCGGAACCTCTCAACCTCACGCACAATCTCAGGCTCCTTCCCCGCCAGCGAGGTGACGTTCCACGTCCCTGAGGCTAGTTTCTGTGTCCAGGGATCGGGTCGCCGAGGCCCCTGCCTTCGACTGCCACCCGATCCTCTTTGCACCGGCCCCTTACGGCTCCTCCTGCAGGTGGTGAGCCCACGGGAAGGCGGTCCCACGTCGCTCCTTCGGGCTGAGCCCGGCCGGACCCCGTGGGGAGAGGCCCGGCCACCAGGCGCTCGCATACGAGCCCCAACTTTTCTACATGCAAGTTATTTTATTATTGCAAGCAAGTTTATTATTATTAATACAGATTTTTAGTGGTAAGATTGGACCGTAGTCATTTATTTTGTCAGTGTGCTTGTTTTAACAAGAGAAATAGTCGACTTTCACTAATAACACAACACAGTTAACTTAACGTTACATACCCCTGCATCCATATGAAGATTTTGTTCTGCAGGTTCGTCGTCGTCTTTTTCAAATCGCTCACTCTGGCTCGAATATGTAAGACAAGTCTTCCATTGTTGACATTTTGTTAACGAGTGACTAAAAATGTTCTTTGAAGCTATAGTATATAATCGTATATCTCTTATCAAACTACAATAATGGCCGAACGCGGGGAGTTGAACCGAGTGTGAACTCGGCGACCTGGAGAGCGGGCGGGGAAGACGCAACTCCATTTTATTTAAAGGGGCCGCTTTGAAACGGGCCTGTGGAGCTAAATGAGGAATTCAGACCCAAGCATTGCAGTTATGCTTTATATAGACCACAAATGTATGATTTATAAGTAAAAATGAATGATTTAAAAGCATGATATGTACCCTTTAACATTAATGTTATATTAGTATGTTATCAAAATATAAAATACACTTTACAATGTTGTAATATTGTAACACTTTACAATGAGGTTCATTAGTTACTGCATTAACTAACATGATTAATACTTTTGTAACAGTATTTATTAGTCTTTGTTAATGTTAGTTAATAAAAATACAGCTGTTAATTTTTTGTTCATGTTAGTTCACAGTGCATGAACTAATGTTAATACATGGCTTGGTTGAATTGTAATGTAGAATGTGGTCTGTTATTTCTTGATAACTAACCGCTGCTAAGTATAACACAAATTTGCCACGAAAAACAGAGCCTTGCCATGGACACAGTTTTGTTCACTCAGGAGGATAAACTCCTTTAAACTCTGCTTCGCGTCGGGGTCCTGACCAGCCTGTCGAGGTTGTATTCGCTATAACAACCGCCTCACTCTACATTATCCCGCTTATTACATGGCTAATTACCAAATGAATCAATAATTTGAGATAATAATAACTACCGTAACAAATGTAGCTATTGCTCATTGTTAGATTGAAGCATCGAAAATACATTTTGTGAAATTTTTACATTTCATACATTTTGGTCCAAAAATAACAAAAACTACAACTTTATTCAGGTATTGTATTCTCTTCCGGTTCTGTTGAGGGTGAGTCATTAATGACATAATTTTCATTTTTGGGTGAACTAACCCTTTAAATCAATACCATGATAATACAATCATACCATGATTAAAGCTTCAGCAATTATCCTTAAATTAAAATTTGATACTATCACATAGTATACACTTACCTTTTTGTGTCCACTGACCCATTTTCCTTAGCTTCCATGACTGCTGGATTAAAAAAAAAAATCTCAATAGATTCCAATTCAATACATGCAATTATAGTCCATCATCACAAGCTCTTAGTAGTTCTCTAAGAAATACTATAGTATGGGAGATGCTCTGTTTTCATTTAATTAATTAATTTCATATTTTTAATTCATTCATTCATATTTACAAATTCTGATAAATTCTTGATGTGCAACGAGATGTTCTGCTTTGATATGTACACTAATAAGTATCTTATTAATCTGATCAACAATTGATCTATCACTTACCTGTCTGTCAGAGAGGAGAGACTGCTCTATTCCATTTGATGTGTTCAGTTGTATCCTCATGACCTTCATCAGTCTCCCGCTGTGCAAAAGTGCCCCATTTTCCATACACTTACACAAACATCCAAGCTTCTGGATAAATCTTTGTGTAGTCAGAGAATTGATTCTGCAAATAATGATAATAATTATATAATCTGATTCTGAGCAATGAAAAAAGAATGATCAAGCATTCTTTCACTTAACTCAAACGATATTTTAAGCACTGTGATACTTCAGGTGAGTAATAAACCAAAAAGATCAGGACCAACAAAGAGGCTAGACATTGTTAAATAGAGGAAACTACAATACATTGCAAGGTAATCTGTCAGAAAACAGCTTAAATCAAATTATTAGCAAAGTAGGCTTCTATTTTATTATTATTATTATATAAAGAAACTCAATGTTGTTTTTAGGGTTGAGAACAGCTTAAATTACATGCGAAACAGTTATAAAGGAAATTAAAATAAGCGTTTCCCTTGCTGGTTTGACAGGTTCCGTGTCTGTGAAGAGAAACGCGATAAACAAAATGACAGCCATGTATATTTTTTATCACAGAGAAGTGATTTTAAATTCTAAATAAAACATCTAATAATTTACTGTAAGTAAAGTATTTTTAATAACTGAAAAATACCGTATGCAATATTTTAGTCTTGCTATAAATATCTGTAACTGTACCACTGAAGCTGTATCTGACAGGCTAAACAGAAGTATTTTTCAACAAAACATATATTGAATATATTACAAGTGGATTTTTTTTGTTTTGTTTTTTTGATGAATTTCAACAGTATGATGATTAATAAAGCGATGATGAACTCATTAGCCAGCTAGCTTCCTATAACTCCACATTTATGACATTTGCCGTCATTCTAAGAAAACAAAACGACACTTTTCAATTGTTTGGATGAAAAACTTTTATCTTACCAATTTGTTTTATGATTGGATGATTTATGTAGATGGCTTGGATGTTATTGATTCCCGATCATTGGAACAATATTACGCTTTTTTCGCCCAGCACAATCCGACAAATGCAGGAACGGGGGATCGTGGGTAATGTAGTCTCGAACGATGGGAAATGTAGTTGTTCACAAGCATGGATAGATTAATCAACCTGATAGCCTATTTTTACCTGAGAAATCAATGCAACAGGAATAAGCCGTTTTACCACTTGATTTTTATCCAGGATTGTAACAGTATTTGACTATTTATTATATTATATTATATTATATTAGGTTATATTATATTATATTATCAATGCGATTTTCTCTGCAAGTCCACTTATTGATGAAAAAAAGCAATACAACTAGTTACAACAGGATTCTAACACCAACTAAAAAACATCCTAGCGCCCTAGGGCTTAAATTGAGTGGGGAAGTAAAATCATTCACAAACATAAGGACAAATAAAAGACAAAGAGAATACACTGACATTTAGCATTGGATATTGGATATACAAGGCAATGCAAATAATTGTATTTTATTCAGTGTCAAAATAATCGGTCACAAAATTGTACAGCAGATATAAAAATAATAGTAAAAAAAAAAAAAAAAAAAAAAACTTCACATGAAATATCAGGATAATATACTGTATGATTGAGCTTTATACTTTATACTTTTATTTGGGGATCTGTTTTCCAAAGCTGGAGGAAAAAAAACAAAAAACATACAAACAAAACAATTTTACATTAATCTTTCTTTACCTTTTCACATTTCTTAACAGCCACAGACAGGCTTTCTTCAGCATATACACATATTTTACAGTTATCACGGCACACACACACACAACACACACACACAGGCGGCGGAAAAGAGAATTGAGCTTTTTCATATATTAATACTGAACATATAGCCTACTTTTCTTTAATGTGTAAAAGACAGGGGGAAAATGCAGCAGAGTTTCATTTAGTCCCCCCCCCCCCCCCCAAAAAAAAAAAAAAAAACTGCTAAAAATTTAAAATAGGCTTTATTCAATGTATAATTTAACATAATAAAGTAAAACTTTTATGTCTAATTAAAAAAAAAGAAGAAGAGGAAAAACAAACCTTTTTAAAGGCTCCTAATAAAGCTTTTACATGCAGGTACCCTAGAACTCCAAGAACTCTTTTGTACATTTCTCTGTGACAGATACCCGTATGTTTTCCTCATCATATTCATCAAAGTTACTTGTGTCTCCAGGCCCTCTGCACTTTGGTATGATCGGAGCATCGACCTGTAAAATTCATGAAGAAATAAAGAGCAGTTCTAAAATCCATTCAGAAATTTGAATCCTGAAAGTATGAATACGGTGTTAAAGAACAAAAGGCCACACCTTCTTCTCATAGATTGCGATCCAGTCTGTCGTAGCAAACCATCTGTGGTTTTTGATGTCACTGACTCCATTTTCAAATTGCCAAAGCGCTTTGTGAGGTCCACTTGCAGCAGATTGCGCAGAACATCCTTCAGGTCTGAACTGAAGTGTGAGGGGAATCGTACCTGTGCAAAACAAGTATTCACATCTGAATGTTTGATATTATCCAATAATCTCTAATTATGTTTTCACGCATTGTTGTAGAAGTCAGGAAATGTTGAAAACATCTGTAGAACTTTTGTGTGTCGAATGCCCATGTTAACATGTTTATTTTGGTCCCAAAAATATATGATGACATGATATATTATTATTATATTATTATTATATTTATTGAATACTGATGAGCAATAAATAGTGTGTAAAATAAATAGAAATTGTTATATACTGTAGATGGGGCCAACACTAAGAGGGAATTCCACTGACAACTATGCTGAAAAAACAAATTGTGCTAAAAAATGTGCAAACAGCCACTCAGAACATCTTAACAATGAGCAAAGCAAAATCCTGGCAACTACCCAGAATACTCACACATTTTGCCACTCGACGCTCAAATAAAATTTCAATAAAGTAATCCATAAAGTATTATTTAGTAAATTTTCCTCATCCTCTCCTCAGGTCATTTGGAGCCAAAAATCTTTTTTTTATTTTTCATTTTTAAAAATTGAGTGTTCATCAGAGTGGTCCAAGACTTTAGGACAAACTTACTGGATTCGAAGAGTTTATGTGGTTGTAATAAAAATAATAACAAATCCTTCCCTTGCGTGCGAATTTGACCACCATAGAAGGATCGAAAATTGATTTTTTTTTTTTAAATTGGTCAAAAAATACAAAAAGATGAATTCCCAAGTATTGTTATAATTGCAATACAATTATAACAGCATTTTTTTAAAATAAAATTTAACTTAAATTATCAATATACACTTCAGACATGCACGTCAGTATAAACACTAACCTAAAAGTGCTCAAAATTTACCAAAAAAATAATTTTATTATGTCTAAATTGTAAGTCGCTGAATAAAAAATAAAAACGATCTGCTAAATGACTAAATATATGGTAAATATCTAAATATATACATGAGTGCATACTGAAGAAAAAAAAAAACTGAGGAAAAATGACTTGGGGATCCATGGGGAACAGTACATTTGCACCATATATTATAGAGCTATAAGGCCATCTAGTGGCAAGAGTTATGAAATATCATGTAATTTATTTCCCCACAAGAGGTCGGCAGAGGCACCCAATGTTTCAAACCTTTTAGAGAGTTATTTTGTATTTAAAGGCCACATTGGCCACAAAAATGTGTACACAATGTTTGTAACATACTTTGGTTACAATTTCTCAATAGTTGTATAAAACACCATTTTTACCTCCTCAAAATAGCTGTAATAGATTGATAATTGCAAGTGTATATAATATTACAATAACAATAAGAACAGCAAATACAATGTAATATCAATTGCAAAATAATATAGACAATATGAAAAAAAAATATGAAACTATAATATTGATCATAAACTGACATTTAACAAAAAATATTTGTGTCATTTGTGAGTTATTTTATATAGGCCTACAGTGGAGAGAATGTGTAGTATATAAAATCAATTTATCTATCTTAAAATATTCCTACATAGCTATATAAAATAAAATGTCACAACCATGTCTCTTTTTGTGAGACCAAGAGATCATCCCGTGTAATATACACAAGACGATTTGTATCTCATGTTTAACCACAAACTAGGAGACATCAGAACCAGCGGCAAAGATGA